CAGACAGAACTGACACAGAAGGTTTAGACACACCAGGTGACCCAGACTCAGGGACAGACAATGGATCTAGAATAGGGAAGCTAACTAAGGATGGAACTGGGGGGGCCAGCTGACCTGAGGGAGGAACTGCCGCCGGGAGCGCAGAGTCCTCTGCATACATCCAGAGGAGCTCCTCCGCAAGCTCCCCCTGATTATGGAGGGCCTCTGGGCACAAGCTGTAAGGGTGCCCCAATACATTACAAAGATTGCAACGAATTATGTTACAACTCCCGGCCTGGTGGCCCAGACACTGACACAGGGAACACCTCTGTTTTGGGCAGGAAGAGGAAAAATGGCCCTTATCACCACATCTGTGGCACAATTTGGGTTGTCCCTGATAAAAGACCACAATTCGATCTCTCCCAATAAACGCAGATGAGGGCATATGCTGTACAACATTATCAAAGACCCTGAGCTTAACCTGGGCAGTCCATCCACCTGTCCATATACCTTTGTCATCAAGCACTTTGCTTAGGGACCCCAGCACCTCACCATACCTCCTCAGCCACACAATGAGGTCCGCTGGGGGAATGGACTCATTCCGTACCAAAATAGTTATGTTCTTTATTAATGGTTGCCTAGACACCACTCTAGGGGACAAACCCTCCCACTCCTTGGAAGACTTGCAGGACCTATCATACCTCTCCCAGAAGAGGTCCAAGCTTTCTGGCTTGACAAATGACAGATCATACTCATAGACCCAACAGGATTAATCAGGGCAAAGATTTCAGCAACCCTGAAGCCCATGCCCAGGATCTTATCAGCCACAGATCCTCTAGAAGGCGGGGTGCCTCCCCCCCCCCACCTCAACTGAACGACATTCCTCCGTGCGAAGGATCCACCCCCAATTAGCCGGGCACCCGACTGAGACACTTGCGGGGGGCCCCTCCCCCCGAGCTGCCAAGCATAGCAGCGTAGCTAATTTTGGGCTGCCCACCTCCCGATACTGCCTCAGCAAAGGAAACCCTGCCGGCAAAAGACCCACTGGGGGGGGCCGCTCTTCACTACCCCCACGGCCGCTGCAGCAGTTCCAGTAAACACCGATAAGCCCTCGGCCTGCCCGGCAACAGCGAGACCTGCACCCGACACCACGGCAGGCTCCACCCCCCCCCCGCACTCCCTCCCGCCGGCACGGGGAGACCAGACACGGGCACAGACAGCGCACTATCAGCGGCCTGGAGGGGACCGGCTGCTCCCACTCCCATAGATGACACAGTAGCACATACAGGTTTACTCCCACCAGTCCCGGCAGATGACTCAACAGCACACAGAGTTTTACACATACCAGTCCCAGCTGCAGGAGCTGACAATCCGGCTGCGGACCCACCCAGCTCAGCGTGCACCTCGGCATGCACCTGTGTAACAGCACCTCCCCCTGCAGCAGGCTGGAGTCTATACACAGTCTTTTCCTTAACCCTTACCCGGGCTTTCCTCGGGACTCCATCTTCGTCTGCTCCCTCCTCTTCAGACAAGTTCTCTGCAAACCTGAACTTTCTCCCACTCAAAGGAGATTCCAGCTCTCGTATCACCTGCAAAGCCCCTGCACAGTCATCCTGGTCACCCGCGCCCCACTCCTGGGTTACCTGACCAGGGATAAGAAGCTGTGATCCGTCCTCCATGGGGACTGACACCGCCGCAGCCCCACTCTGTTGCAAACATTTTCCAGCCTGCTGGCTTGCCTCCTCCTCAGCGATATCCATAGAATCCCCAGAGTGGGATGGAGCGATATCCTCATCTGTAGTCATTTTGACATCCTTCCTCATCGCCATGAATCTGGTCTCACTGGCATATTTTTCCTTCCTTGAAACTGCCGCTCGTCTCCTTTAATGCTGCAACAAGCAGCGCTTGGCTTTTTACTTTATCTTCCAAGCTGTTGACCTCCGGTCGATGCAATGAACGCTTGTTGCTCCAGGCCCTCTCCCAGACCCCTTTTTTCTTCCTATATTCCATCCGGAGCTTGGCCAGCTTCTCCTCCTCTTTTGCAATCCGCAAAATTCTGGCAGCAACTTTGCTCCTATAAACTGACACAGGCTCACCCTTTTTTGGGCCACCGCCTAAGTCCTCAAACACTGGTACTGGGGGGGGGGGAGTACCACAGCTAGCATGGGAAACGCCGTCTGAAGTCTTGACAAGACTACCCTCCGGACCTCCACCCGGGTCCCCTCCTGGGCCTACCCCAGGATCCTGCATGGTTCTCAGTAGAGCACCGAACTCTAGAGCCTGGCTTCAGGCCTACACCTGGAGCTCAGCAGAGCACAGTCCAACACAGCCTCTCCACACGCTGTCAGGAATGACTCACCACAGGGCTCACCTGCCTTGTGGGCTGCAGTACCAGGGCTGGCCAGCGGGTGCTCTCAACAACCAGAGGTTCACTTCGGCAATTAGCCATCACCTGGGGCTGATTGCAGGTGGTGTATTTAAGGGATGGCCAGACCTGCAGTCTGTGCCTTGGTGTGTGTTTTTCCATGGGCCCCTGTATCTTGTAACCTGCATTCCTGTTCCTGTTTCTGCCTGACTTGTTGCCGACCCTGCCTGATCCTGACCTCTGCTGACTTCTCCTGTTTGATCCCTGGCTTGTGACCCTGACCATTCTCTCCGCCTGCTCCTCCTGTACCTACCTGCCCGATAGTTATCGACCCGGCCTGACTACGTTGTGCTCTATATGTGTATGTACCTGTGTATCTATATCAGTTTAGGTTTGGGTTTGTGTCACCTTGTTGTATGTATTTGTGTTAGCTTGGGGTTTGGTGCACTGCGTTTATGTTTGTATTGTTAGTCTTAATAAATTGTCTTATTTATACCATATCTGAAGCTTGCGTTTCCCTGTGTCAGTCCACACACTTCTGGTCACACCCGCATCCCTGACACAATGGCAGAGGAAGCAGTACCTGTCAAATTCCCGCTCCCCAAAGGTGCCAATCCTTAATGGGGAGCAGGGGCAAAGCATTAAAACGGAACTTCCCCTTTTGGATGGAACTCCGCTTTAAAGAGGTGGAGATCTACCTGAACAACATGGGAGAAGTCAAAGATCACTGGGCACAGTGTTGCCTCCTCACACCTGATTTAAACCTCTAATTGCTGTACTACCGTGTCACATATCGCCTCCTCACCACCTGTCAAATGCACTGGGATCACTTTGCAGAGGGGCAGCAGTGCCTATGACTGTGACTGCACCTGTGAACGAGGCCTTAGTTATAATCAGCAGTGGCACCCTATGTGCTTGTTCACGTAAGGTTTGGGGGTGGTAAAACTGTATGGTTTTATCACCCTCCAATTCCTACCCCTTTTAGCTGCTGAAGCAGCAGCCAAAGGTATACACATGCAGCAGCAGGAATTACACCCCCCGTTGCTTACTTCTGCAGGGTCCAAGGGCTTAAAACAGGTGGTGAGAAAGCAACCCAACTCTGCCTGTTTAACCCCTTGTTTGCTGTACTGTAGAAGATTGCAGAGCAACAGCAGAGCAGCCTCATTCACTTGAATGGGTCATGCTTGGCAGGTACTACATCCAACCATGACAGGGCGTAGGAGCAACACTACAGAGGAGACATCAACTTATTCTGCTCTTGCTCCCTACTACAGCTCCAACTTTACAAGTAGTTCCTCTGCATTGCACTCTGTTTCATGCTCTGAGATGGTGGGTCAGCAAGCCCAGAACGAGATCTACCAGTCACCTGTCAGAGATCTACTGGTTGATGCCCCCGACCTAGGCAATCAGAGTGTAAGTTCTCCCTCCTCACTTCCCTCCCTGCAGAAGACTGCGGGACCATTCACAATGTGCATCGCAGCTCACACATTCGTAATGGGCACCTGGCCATGAAGCCGCAAGCTGTAACAACTGGGTGCCCACATTTAAGATGCCTGGGACCAAAAAGGGGTGAATAAAACGGCTGGGGTGAACACAGTGCTGGATCCCGGGACAAGTGAGTGTCTGTACATTTAATGTCAGCAGCTTCAGTTTTTGTAAATTTAAAAAATATAACTGGAGCTCCTCTTTAAAGCAGAACTAAAGGCATTTTTTTCCATATTGGATACAGTAAAGAAGGGTTATAACCCCTGTCCGTTTTTTTTGTCATCTGTGTCCCACTGGAGAGACTTTCTTTCACTTTCTATCCTATAGTGAAAACAGGAAGTGAAAGGAAATCCCTCCAAAGTGAAGTACTTCCTGGTCATCACTAGAACTAGTGTCCCCTTTGGAAGAATTCCCCTCTATTCCTGTTCTGATTGCAACAAAAATTTTTGGACGTTCTTTCACTTTTACTGATAACACTAAACAGGACAAATAGAAAGGGAGAATCTTAACAGGGATACAGGCAGCACCTAACAAGCGAAAAACAACCTGACATGGTTTTAAAACCTTGCCTATTTCTATCTAAAACTTAAGAAAAAAACAAAATATACTATATTGTCAAAAGTATTGGTCGGCCCGCCTTTACACGCATGTGAACTTTAATGGCATCCCAGTCTTAGTCCAATATTCAATAATAAGTTTCAATATTGAGTTGGCACACCCTTTGCAGCTATAATAATGTCAGCTTTTCTGGGAAGGCTGTCCACAAGGTTTAGGAGTGTGTCTATGGGAATGTTTAACCATTCTTCCAGAAGCGTATTTATGAGGTCAGGCACTGATGTTGGACGAGAAGGCCTGGCTCGTAGTCTCCACTCGAATTCATCCCAAAGGTGTTCTATCAGGTTGAGGTCAGGACTCTGCAGGCCAGTCAAGTTCCTCCACCCCAAAAACTCGCTCATCCATGTCTTTATGGACCTTGCTTTGTGCTCTGATGTGCAGTCATGATGGAACAGGAAGGGGCCATCCTCAAACTGTTCCTATAAAGTTTGGAGCATGAAATTGTCCAAAATGTCTTGGTATGCTGATGCCTTAAGAGTTCCCATCAATGGAACTAAGGGGCCAAGCCTAACCCCTGAAAAACAACCCCACACCATAATCCCCCCTCCACCAAACTTTACACTTGGCACAATGCAGTCAGGCAAGTATCATTCTCCTGGAAACCATCAAACCCAGACACGTCCATTGGATTTCCAGACAGAGAAGTGTGATTCGTCATTCCAGAGAACACATCTCCACTGCTCTAGAGTCCACTGTATCCATTGCTTTGCATTGCACTTGGTGATGTAAAGCTTGGATGCAGCTTCTTGGAGGTCTTTAGCTATTGCCTCTGCAGACAGTTGGCGACTTCTGCGCACTGTGCGCTTCAGCATGCACTGACCCCGCTCTGTCATTTTATGTGGCCTACCACTTTGTGGCTGAGTTGCTGTTGTTCCCAGACGCTTCCACTTTGTTATAATACCACTAACAGTTGACTGTGGAATATTTAGTAGCAAGGAAATTTCACAATTGTACAGGTGGCAACCTATCACGGTACCAAACTTGAATTCACTGAGCTCCTGAGAGCGACCCATTCTTTCACAAATGTTTGTAGAAGCAGTCTGCATGCCTAGGTGCTTGATTTTATACACCTGTGGCCATGGAGGTGATTGGAACACCTAAAGCCAATGATTTGGAGGGGTGTCCCAATACTTTTGGCAATATAGTGTAAACACATATGTTTATCAATTGAGTGCCATCTTTGAGTATTTTTCATGCACTTTTTGATATACTAATTTTGGAATTATTTTGAAGGGTGGGTATAAGGTTGAGCCCACATCCATTTTTTCTTTACAAGTTTTGAGAATATTGTTGTCAGTGGAGGGCTCCCTTTCCTGATCTATATTGATATTTATATGGTTAAACACACAGACCTAGTAGGACTAGATATTTTAATTTTATTATACTAGCTATGCCATATTGTGGGTGAGGCCTACCGCGGCTGTGCAGTAGGGGTACCATTGCCAGAGGGCAATGCCTAGGACCAGGTAGGAAACTGCGTCATGTGCACAGTCTAACATTAAGGCAATCTCCCAGCTTAGAAATGAGCTGGCACTGCATGTAGAATGAAGTTGAATTACTGATAACGTGTTGTCCCATCGAGCTACATACAGATTTCTACTTGTTGCATTCGGTATGGTGGGCCCATGCCACCTCCACTAGCCGGTGTATCTCTGTTACCTCACTCCCAGTAAAAGAATGGGATCCTGCCGGCCACGTGTGTCCTGTGTTAACTCATTTGTAAGTTGTACTTTTTTGTCACAATCTTTTGGAAAATGAAAAAATCACTGTGGTTAGCACTCCTGCCGAACAGCACTAGGGTCGTTGGTTTGAATCCCAACCATGACACTACCTGCCTGGAGTTTGCCTGTTCTCCCTGTGCCTGCGTGATTTCCGACTACACTCCAATAACATGCTGGTAGGTTAATTGACTCATGTCTAAATTGGCCCTAGAATTGGGCCTAGTATGTATGATTATTAGAGATGAGCGAATTATTCAAAAATTCGATTCGACTGATTCGGCGAATTCGTGAAAAAAAATTTGATTTGAGTCGAATATATTCGCTGCGAATTTAACTTATAAAAGGGTGTTTCTAGGCTTCAGAGAGCCTTTATATTAGTGCAGAACACTGTACCTTAATTTAAATGCCCTTGGAGTCTGCTGGGGAAGAGAAATAATACTGTCAGTCAGTATGACATGCAGATGAGTGCCGTCGATCTTAGAATCACCGCACACTTCACTCATTTGGGCAGTCACGGGGCCAAAACCAGAGTGTGGAGCCACAGTGTGGCGGTGGAGGCAGCAGCAATGGGAGGCCATACAGCACCCTATGACAAAATGGAACCCACCAGCAGTGTGAGGAGACCTGAAAGTGGCACATGGCAGAGTGTGGCGATGGAGACAGCAGCAATGGGAGGCCGTACAGGGACCCATGACACACTCTGGACCTGGCAGCAGCATGAGGAGGCGGTACAGGGGCCCATGACAGATTACGGGCCTGGCAGCAGCATGAGGAGTTGGTACGGGGGCCCATGGCAGATTACGGGCCTGGCAGCAGCAATGGGAGGCCGTACAGGGACCCATGACACACTCTGGACCTGGCAGCAGCATGAGGAGGCGGTACAGGGGCCCATGACAGATTACGGGCCTGGCAGCAGCATGAGGAGTCGGTACGGGGGCCCATGACACACTCTGGACCTGGCAGCAGCATGAGGAGGCGGTACAGGGGCGCATGACAGATTACGAGCCTGGCAGCAGCAACTTGGACAGGAGGACGTTCAGCTTCTGCACCGTCGGGTGCGTGCTCGCAAACTGTTGTCTCTTGGAAACGGATTCCAAGAAAGACTGCTGACGGAATCCGTGAAGAGTAGCAGGAGAAGGAGCATCTGAACGAGCGGAATATGCCAACGAGCGACAACAGGGGCCCATGACAGATTACGGGCCTGGCAGCAGCATGAGGAGTCGGTACGGGGGCCCATGGCAGATTACGGGCCTGGCAGCAGCAATGGGAGGCCCGTAATCTGCCAGCACCCTATGACAAAAAAATGGAACCCACCAGCAGTGTGAGGAGACCTGAAAGTGGCACATGGCAGAGTGTGGCGATGGAGACAGCAGCAATGGGAGGCCGTACACGGACCCATGAGACACTGTGGACCTGGCAGCAGCATGAGGAGGCGGTACAGGGGCCCATGGCAGATTAGGGGCCTGGCAGCAGCTATGGGAGGCCCGTAATCTGCCAGCACCCTATGACAAAAAATGGAACACACCAGCAGTGTGAGGAGACCTGAAAGTGGCACATGGCATGAGACACTGTGGACCTGGCAGCAGCATGAGGAGGGCGGTACAGGGGCCCATGGCAGATTAGGGGGCCTGGCAGCAGCTATGGGAGGCCCGTAATCTGCCAGCACCCTATGACAAAAAATGGAACACACCAGCAGTGTGAGGAGACCTGAAAGTGGCACATGGCATGAGACACTGTGGACCTGGCAGCAGCATGAGGAGGCGGGTTACAGGGGCCCATGGCAGATTAGGGGCCTGGCAGCAGCTATGGGAGGCCCGTAATCTGCCAGCACCCTATGACAAAAAATGGAACACACCAGCAGTGTGTGAGGAGACCTGAAAGTGGCACATGGCAGAGTGTGGCGATGGAGACAGCAGCAATGGGAGGCCGTACAGGGACCCATGAGACACTGTGGACCTGGCAGCAGCATGAGGAGGCAGTACAGGGGCCCATGGCAGATTAGGGGCCGGGCAGCAGCTATGGGAGGCCCGTAATCTGCCAGCACCCTATGACAAAAAATGGAACACACCAGCAGTGTGAGGAGACCTGAAAGTGGCACATGGCATGAGACACTGTGGACCTGGCAGCAGCATGAGGAGGCGGTACAGGGGCCCATGGCAGATTACGGGCCTGGCAGCAGAAATGGGAGGCCCGTAATCTGCCAGCACCCTATGACAAAAAATGGAACACACCAGCAGTGTGTGAGGAGACCTGAAAGTGGCACATGGCAGAGTGTGGCGATGGAGACAGCAGCAATGGGAGGCCGTACAGGGACCCATGAGAGACTCTGGACCTGGCAGCAGCATGAGGAGGTGGTACAGGGGCCCATGGCAGATTAGGGGCCTGGCAGCAGCAAAAGGGAGGCCCGTAATCTGCCAGCACCCTATTGACAAAAAATGGAACACACCAGCAGTGTGTGAGGAGACCTGAAAGTGGCACATGGCAGAGTGTGGCGATGGAGACAGCAGCAATGGGAGGCCGTACAGGGACCCATGAGAGACTCTGGACCTGGCAGCAGCATGAGGAGGCGGTACAGGGGCCCATGGCAGTTTAGGGGCCTGGCAGCAGCAAATGGGAGGCCCGTAATCTGCCAGCACCCTATGACAAAAAAATGGAACACACCAGCAGTGTGTGAGGAGACCTGAAAGTGGCACATGGCAGAGTGTGGCGATGGAGACAGCAGCAATGGGAGGCCGTACAGGGACCCATGAGAGACTCTGGACCTGGCAGCAGCATGAGGAGGCGGTACAGGGGCCCATGGCAGATTAGGGGCCTGGCAGCAGCAATGGGAGGCCCGTAATCTGCCAGCACCCTATGACAAAAAATGGAACACACCAGCAGTGTGTGAGGAGACCTGAAAGTGGCACATGGCAGAGTGTGGCGATGGAGACAGCAGCAATGGGAGGCCGTACAGGGGACCCATGAGACACTGTGGACCTGGCAGCAGCATGAGGAGGCGGTACAGGGGCCCATGGCAGATTAGGGGCCTGGCAGCAGCTATGGGAGGCCCGTAATCTGCCAGCACCCTATGACAAAAAATGGAACACACCAGCAGTGTGAGGAGACCTGAAAGTGGCACATGGCAGAGTGTGGCGATGGAGACAGCAGCAATGGGAGGCCGTACAGGGACCCATGAGAGACTCTGGACCTGGCAGCAGCATGAGGAGGCGGTACAGGGGCCCATGGCAGATTAGGGGCCTGGCAGCAGCTATGGGAGGCCCGTAATCTGCCAGCACCCTATGACAAAAAACCAGCAGTGTGTGAGGAGACCTGAAAGTGGCACATGTTTGGGGCATGATTCATGGCGGATTTAGTCAGTTGTGTCAGGAACTGGTGGTTTGAAATCCAGACTAATCCATGCCTGATTCATTTTCACAAACGTGAGTCTCTCCACACTTTGGGTGGACAGTCGTGTCCTCCGCGGAGTTACAATACCTCCTGCCGCACTAAACACGCGCTCCGATGCCACGCTACTGGCCGGGCATGACAGCCTTTCAAGGGCAAATTCAGCTAGTTGGGGCCAAAGGTCAAGTTTCGTTGCCCAGTAGTCAAGGGGATTGTCTACCTCGGTTGGCAGGGTGCTGTCCAAGTAGGCCCAAGCCTGTTGTTTGAGGTCCTGCTCCGGTCCACCTGATGCTGCTGCTGCGGCTGCGGCTGGTTAGTAGTTTCCTCACTGCGTGGTGAAGAAAGCTACTCATCATCGACTGCAGACTGAGGCAAGCGCTGCTGGTGGAGCTGCCACTGCTCCTACCACCCCACCCCTCCCCTGCTGCCATGGCAGCGGAACGCGAGCGCACAGGGCCCACAGTTGTCTGAGGATGGACGTTGGCGCAGAAAGGCAGAGACCAACTGACTACATAGGTGGTTTTTTTATAGTACGTTATTTTGGCCTCCCTCTCAGCAGGTGTGAAAAAGGCCACCATTTTTGAACGGTAGCGAGGGTCCAACAAGGTGGACAGCCAAAAGTCATCCCTCTGTCTGATGGTTATTATTCGGCTGTCGCTACGCAAGCAAACCGAGCATGCTATGGGCCATTTGTGCCAAGGAATGCGAGGGACTCCCTGCCTCCATCTCCACAGCATACTGCCACGGTGCGTATGGGTCCTCTGTCTCCTCCTCCTCCTCCTCTACCAGATGCTCCTGCTCCTCCACTCCTGTCCGCTGAGTGGAAAAAGCACCCATTTCACTCAATAATTCCTGAGCACAAATGTTGTCCTCCTCGTACTCCTCCTCTTCTTCCTGTCCTGCCCCCACAGGGGTTCATGTGGCGTTGAGATCTGTGCGCCACGTCTACCGCACCCTGACCAAGCCATTGTTAACAAGCATTTGTTCCAGGACGTGCAACAGAGGAATGACGTCGTTCATCCCATAGTTTCCCCTGCCGACTCACGAAATAGCGTGGCCTCCTCAAAGGGCCTCAGCAAGCGGCAGGTGTCACGCATGAGCTGCCAATGGCTGCATCAAAGTTACACAGGGGAGTACCTTTATCCGCTTGTAACATCAGGAAATCGGTGATGGCCTTTCGCTGTTCGTAAAGGCGGGTCTAACATGTGTAGGGTTGAATTCCACCTTGTTGCAACGTCGCAGATCAGGCGATGCTGTGGAATTCCGTTTCTGCCGCTGCAGCTCAAGGAGGGTGTGCTTTGCGGGTGTTAGGGAATGGCTGAAATGCATGCAAAGTTTACGTGGACATTTTAAGGATGTCTTGCAGTGGGATGGTGGATTTTGGAGGACCGCTTGACAACCAGGATTGAACACGTGAGCCATGCATGGCGCATGCACAACCTTCTTGACGCAGAGCAGACACCATGTTCTTTCCGTTGTCGGTCAACATGGTTCCGATTTTTCAGTTTGCGCGGGAGACAGCCATCTGTCGATTTCTCTGTTCATTACACTGAGAAGTTCCTCCCCTGTGTGACTACGTTCGCCAAGGCATACCAGGTGCAGCACAGCGTGACACCGTTGCGCCCTGCACATGTGATATGCCGGTCGGGTAATGGGACTTGCACGGGGAGGGGTGGCGGCCCTGAGGACACGAAGGAAGAAGAGGTGGTAGAGGCGGACATCTTTTGTGGACCAAGGAAGTGCAAACGTGCCTGGGATGCAAAAGCGGCGTGACCTGTCCAAGTTGCTGGTGCGGCTGTGACGGCACCCACGTTCACCCAGTGGGCCGTAAATGACATGTACTGTCCCTGACCGTAGTTACAGCTCCACACGTCGGCGCTGCCGTGCACTTTGGCAGAGACCGACATGCTCAAAGACTGGCCCACCATCTCTTCTACATGTGAATGCAGGGCTGGCACTGCCTTTTTGGCGAAGAAATGGCGGCTTGGCACTCTCCACCGTCGGCGGCGCGGCACAAGCCATCACATTTCTCGGAAAGGTGCTGAGTCCACCACTTGGAAAGGGAGGGACTGCAGCACCAGCAACTTGGACAGGAGGAGTTCAGCTTTTGCACCGTCGGGTGCGTGCTCGCAAACTGTTGTCTCTTGGAAACGGATTCCAAGAAAGACTGCTGACGGAATCCGTGAAGAGGAGTAGCAGGAGAAGGAGCATCTGAACGTGAGCGGAAGATGCCAACGAGCGACAACTCCCTCAGCAGAGGTGTTGGAGCCTTGACTGGCTGATAGAGGGCGATTGATGTCGGGTGACGGAACAAGTAACGGACGCGGGTGATGGAGCGGGGGCTGGGCAGGCAGAACCGCCGTATCTTTATCACGGTTTTCCCAGGCCACCAAATGGCGACGCTGCATATGCTGCCGCATCGCTGTAGTCCCAACATGGGCCCCCTGGCCACGCTTGACTTTCTGGCCACATAGTCGACATACGGCTACGTTTACTTCCTCGGGCTGGCTTGACGAAAAATTGCCACACCGCCGAGTAGGAAACTTTGCCCCGCTACTCCTCACTGGCTGACTGCTACTTCCTCCGTGCACACCGGCACCACTATGGCCGTGGTGGTAGGCTGCAGTGGAGCTGGTGCTCTACTCCGTGGCGCCGTTTGCCTCCACTGACACTGCTGCGACCTGCTGCCTCCTGGGCAACCTACGACTGTTTTGCTTGCTGCCAAGCTGCCACCCTCTTCTCTGATGATGCGGAAGCAATAGCCTGATGACGACGAGGCTGCCAAGTGCGATCAGCCTCATCATCATCAATTAGGGTCTCCGCCTCACTACTAGCCCTCTCGGCTGCGTGTGGGTCAGGAGACAGACTGTCTCTAGACCGGCTACCGAGCCACTCAGCCTCGCCACTACTTCTTCGCCTGGCTGCTGAAGAGGGGGATGTCTCCCCCGTTACTGACCGCCCTCTGTTAGCTCTTCCTCACTGTACAGTGGGGCTGAGCCCACAGCAGAATACGATACTTTGCTTGGTGAGGGAACACCAAAGGACAGGGGCAGGTCGAGGACACGTGATTTCAGTGGGGATTGCTCCCGGGCCATGCCAACTAACGGTTGTGTCTGACGTACCCACCGACCGTTGGCTGTAGGTGTCAGAGGTGACTGGGAAGAGGAAGGACGTCCGAGCCAACCAATCGATGACGGCAGGGTTGTGGGTGGAGACACGACCCCACTGGATGACACCAGGAGCAATGGCCTCTGGCTGCGACTAGTGCTGCCTCGACCCTTTCCTCTGCTGCCACGTCTGCTCGCTCCTAAAACATTGCCTCCTCTGCCACTCCTCTGCATGTTGTCTGACATACTCTTTAATTAAACGATTCTGTGTCCCTGAGTAACAATTCTGTGTCCCTGAGTAACAATTCTGTGTCTGTCCCTGAGTAACAATTCTGTGTCCCTGAGTAACAATTCTGTGTTCCCTCCCTCAGTAACAATTCTGTGTCCCTCAGTAACATTCTCTGTCCCTGAGTAACAATTCTGTGTCCCTCAGTATAAAACAATTCTGTGTCCCTCAGTAACAATTCTGTGTCCGAGTAAAAATTCTGTGTCCCTCAGTAACAATTCTGTGTCCCTCAGTAACAATTCTGTGTCCCTGAGTAACAATTCTGTGTCCCTCAGTAACAATTCTGTGTCCCTCAGTAACAATTCTGTGTCCCTGAGTAACAATTCTGTGTCCCTAAGTAACGGTTCTGTGGCCCTAAGTAACGGTTCTGTGGCCCTAAGTAACGTTTCTGTGGCCCTAAGTAACGGTTCTGTGGCCCTCAGTAACGGTTCTGTGTCCCTCAGTAACAATTCTGTGTCTGTCCCTAAGTAACAATTCTGTGGCCCTAAGTAACGTTTCTGTGGCCCTAAGTAACGTTTCTGTGGCCCTAAATAACGATTCTGTGGCCCTAAGTAACGTTTCTGTAGCCCTAAGTAACGTTTCTGTGGCCCTAAGTAACGTTTCTGTGGCCCTAAGTAACGGTTCTGTGTCCCTCAGTAACAATTCTGTGTCCCTCAGTACAATTCTGTGTCTGTCCCTGAGTAACAATTCTGTGTCCCTAAGTAACGTTTCTGTGGCCCTAAGTAACGGTTCTGTGTCCCTCAGTAACAATTCTGTGTCCCTCAGTAATAATTCTGTGTCTGTCCCTGAGTAACAATTCTGTGTCCCTAAGTAACAATTCTGTGGCCCTAAGTAACGGTTCTGTGTCCCTCAGTAACAATTCTGTGTCCCTCAGTCCACAATTTCTGTGTCTGTCCCTGAGTAACAATTCTGTGTCCCTAAGTAACGTTTCTGTTGGCCCTAAGTAACGGTTCTGTGGCCCTAAGTAACGGTTCTGTGGCCCTCAGTACAATTCTGTGTCCCTCAGTAACAATTCTGTGTCTGTCCCTAAGTAACAATTCTGTGACCTAAGTAACGTTTCTGTTGCCCTAAGTAATGATTCTGTGGCCCTAAGTAACGGTTCTGTGGGCCCTCAGTAACAATTCTGTGTCCCTCAGTAACAATTCTGTGTCTGTCCCTAAGTAACAAATTCTGTGGCCCTAAAGTAACGTTTCTGTGGCCCTAAGTAACGTTTCTGTGGCCCTAAGTAACGATTTCTGTGGCCCTAAGTAACGATTCTGTGGCCCTAAGTAACGTTTCTGTGTCCCTAAGTAACGTTTCTGTGGCCCTAAGTAACGTTTCTGTGGCCCTAAGTAACGTTTTCTGTGTCCCTTAACTAACGTTTCTGTGTCCCTAACTCTCTCCCTCAATACAGCCAGGTCTGCCTCTGTTGAATGACTGGAGGCA